GAGATTTTTTCTCTTTTTAACTTAAAAAATATGGTCAGAAGTGGCAATATGCCTCTATCCCACTCGGTATATAGGTCCTCACAGAAATTCGTAACAATGATGGCAAATGTAAGGAAACTTGGGATGAAGATACTTTCAAGGTAGACAAGCTTTATTGGCACTTCTATTTTGATTTTAAATGACAAGATGACTTCATAATCGATGTCTAAATATGGCAATAAATTTTAGAATTTTGATTTTGGCTTCTGGTTATCTTCTTCAACGAAAACAATGCACTTCGGTGAAAATTTCACCCAAATGCGTTAAATGGTTCAAAAGTTATTGACAATTAAAGAAATTTGAWTTTTTTGCCAGATGAATGAAATTGCCCATATATTATGGTTACACGCTATTTTTTACAACAACAACATCAACAGTCTTTATTTCGTTCCTATCGTTGTTTTAACAAATAAATAATAGAAGTTATAGAACAAATTAAGGTACAGGACCTAACCAATAAAAAAAGAACTAAAAAAACTAATAGAGTGTCAGGACCAGTCAGTGTGTTTTAGAAGTTGAAAGAAATGCATGAGTCTTGGAACTAGAGGCACGAAATTTACAGATARATAGAGGATATTACATGGGCGCGCGGAGATACGGATTTTATCTTCGAGCGTTGAAAAGATCTCTCACGAGTTAACCTCCAGGCCCCCTCGAAGGCCTGATACTCAGGTTATCACGAGTGAGCGTAGCGACCGAGTGAGAGATTTTCAACAACACGAGAAGATAAATTTTGTATCTCCAAGCGACCATGTAATATTCTGTTTATCATATAATTACATATGGAAGCAAATTATGTCGGTAAAATAATTTTTATCACTTCCACTATATAGCGAAACCTCGAATGTCGTGAAAATATCAATTTTACGAAATGGAGAAATATAGGTATTTCATAAGGCCTCATAATAATTATATGGTCAATAAATATATCAAAAAGTTTACACATTTTTCAAACAAATTACTAAATAACAAAAAAGAAAAGAAAAATAACAAAGACTAGGCGCTAAGAATAAATAATTGATAAGTTAAAAGCAACTTTTTTTTTACTATGAAGCACGTCAAAGTCCAGTAGATTTATATAAACTATTTGTTTTTGTTGTTGTTGTTGTTGTTGTTGTTGTACTTATTTTTGTTTGCTTATTAGTTACTGTTGGAAAGTGGAATTATTGCACTAATAAATCTGTTTATGTTATCAGAGTTTGTTTTTGATTGCATTTCGTTCGATTTGTTCGACACATAAATTGACTTGTATGGTTTGGCGCGACCATAGCAGACCATGGAGCCGTATTGAACTTGATGATTCATACGTCGAGCTGTTCATGATATAAATTCAAACTATTTCAGCTATTTGCTGGCTCGACGTAAGAACCGGACCTCATTAAAAATATTTGCCTGCTTTTCTCTGAAAATGCAGGGAAACTGAAAAAAACTCTATTTGTTTATCATTTCGCACAGCGTTTTTTTAGCTAAATCTAAAAATATAATTAAATGTCAATCAGAGCGCGCTTAAAAAAAAGAAAGAAAAAAGAAGAAGGAATTTTAAAAAGATAAGAAAAATAAAATACCAACACATAATATTCAAGCCAGCATAAAATATGCATTGATTGAAAGTAGAGTCAAGTACTGTGTTCTTTATAGGAGCTGTCTCCTCCAGCTGCGAAAATAGATTTTGAATTGAAAACACCTGTATATGTACTTTGAAAACTAACAAATAAAATACACAACAAACACTTCAATGAGTAAYACAATGATGGCCAAATATCTAGCCCTTTCATTCTTTTTCTCCAAAATCATCTCTACAAACCCTGCAGAAGTACGCGGACAAAGACAAAGTGATGGCATTACGTTTGGAAATTTCTTCATTCACTTTCAAGGTCATAAACTCTTTGGTACTGCAATGAAAAAGCTGAAAATAAGATCACCTTTTGATTGCTTAATTGAGTGCAGTGCAAACATTCAATGCATTTCTACAAACGTGAACACAACAAGTGACGTTGCTGGCTTGTTGGAGTGTGAATTGTTGGACTTTGACAAGAATGAATTACAGCGAGAACTTATCAAAGAGACTGGAGTGGATCATTACGCTTTGCTAGTAAGTACATTGAACAACTTAAAACAGTGGTATTGAGAGAGAGAAGTTGCTAAACTTATATTAGTTTACTTTTTAAAATGCGGCTTAGGGCATTTATAAAAACGTAAGATCGATTTTCGCTAACGAAGCACGGAAAAGGKGACGTAAGGGATTTACTTTCGTATKCCGAACGGACGGAAAAGGAACCACGACAGAAGRAACGAATGGTAGGGGAGTCAGAACGGAAAGCCATTTTTGTTAAATCTACTTTTCTCTTACTTTTGTTTCATTTCGTGTGAAAATTTAGCGACACAATCACAGAATGAAAAGAAAGTTTTCTCGCTCGTTCTTTTTCACAGGAAAGGAACTGGTTTATATATTTCGTWCTCTCTTGCTTCATCATTGAAAACTGGCATAATCAACTGACGATTCGGATGTTTGACGTATTCAAAGCAAAAATAGCAAAGGTGTCAATAAAAATCCTGCGATCATTAATAATTTATCGACTTGGTTTCGTGCTATGCGGCGGAGTATGATCACATCAACGACTGGTTCACTATCTTGCATTCCGTTGGCCCTTGACATAAAAAAGCATTCTACACGTTCAAGATATTATTGTAAGAAAATCCGGATTGTATGGGTTTAATTTGTATATAAAACATGTTTTCTTTTAAGAATTAAAATTCTTTTTCCAACCGCTGTTAGAAACATTCAGGGTTGTTGGAGAATGTGTCATTGGTCGAGCCAAGTGACGAGCTGTTGGATAATGGTGTACCGCAGGACTCCATCATTGCACCCTTTATGTTTTCTATTTATATATAACTACATAAGCATACTTTAGATTCTGGATTCCGTGTCATTGGGACCTGCATGTGGCGAACCTATTTTGATTGTCTTTAGTGGGAATGTAAGATTTTCACATTTGGATTTGGAAGGAAAGTTAGATTTAGTTAGAGTTTTCATCAGGATTTTCGATCCACTCAACGCCTTTTTGTTTATTTTRCTTTGTTTTATTTATTTATTTAGTTTTTGCTTAGTTTTTTTTAACGAAATTAGAAGTGATCATTTATTAAAATTTTCTATAAATGTTTTTTTGTTATACAATAATCACGGTCAGCGAAATGGAATGCTGCTAGGCCTTTGTCTGAAAGAACCAATCGGCCAATCAGCGATATCAGCCAAATGAATTCAGAAGCGATGAATGCTAAAAATCCCTCAATTAATTCAAAATGATTATACCAGCTTCATATAATACTTTGACTAACTGTTTGTCATCTCAGAAGAAGACCTTAGTACCTGCTGAGGCCTGCTCCGCCATTGACAAACAAAAACCAAGTGACGTCTACCGTATCAAACCTAGTCTTTCTCCGTCATTTCTTGCCTWTTGTGACATGGTAACCAATGGTGGAGGATGGACAATCTTTCAGAGACGTCTCGATGGCTCAGTTGATTTCTACCGTGGCTGGCACGACTATAAACAAGGGTTTGGAAACGAGAATGGTGAATACTGGTTAGGACTGGATCGAATCCACGCCATGACATCAAAAGGAAATTTCCGACTTCGTATTGATTTAGAGGACTTCGAGGGAAACGCGCGATACGCGGAGTACGACTCGTTTAGCGTGTCTGATGAAGCTGATAAGTATCGTCTTTCGATTGGGAAATATTCAGGTACTGAAAGTGTAATTAAACAGTTGTTATTATTTTCTAAGATCTTTGTGTGATTCAGCTCCTCCTATAGCCCATGCAGTGAGCCGTTCTAAAACCACAAGAAACCTTTCGAAAACGATAAAAGCAAGGTGAACGCTTCATAGAGGTTCGACTTTTATTGTTCTTTTTTGTAATAACATAGGCAAGATTCACCACGGGATTGATGACAAATAAAGAGGCGTTTACACGAGCAATTTTTCCTTGACAATTTTCCCTGTCAAGGAAGAGGCAACATGTTCGCTTGTCAGGGACGAAATTTGCTGGTGTAAATGGACAACAAGGAAAATGTGGCAAGGAAGAATTGTCAAGGAAAATTTGTTGACCATTCACACGGGCAATTTTTCCTTGTCAAGGAAGTTGTCAAGGAAAAATTGCTCGTGTAAACGCCGCTTAAAGACTGAGTCATGTTGTTTTTCTTTGCGCAAGCATAGTTTTTTTTT